GGAAAATATACCACAAATGAAAACTTAACATGTAAGAATAGAGGGTAGTTCTCAGGCACTTCAAGGGCAAAGCCAAAATCTTATTCATCTTCTTTTTTATTCATCTTTAATTCTTTAGTGTTTGATCACAGATATGACATAAACCATCACATTTATTGAATGAATGGTGGGGACACAAAACTTATTTAGAAAAAGGAAAAGACTGGTATTACTGGAAGCAAGAATGCCAGCACTCTGGATTCCAGCAGTAGGTGCTAAGAAACCTTGTTTTATTATAATAAGACGAAAGAATGAGTTGACTCAATTTTCAGATTCACTCATTTAATAAGAACTCTGCTAGAAGAAAATATAATGGTAAGCCTAATACATATCTCACATATCTCTTGAATATCTCACATGTATCTTGTATATCTCTCAGCCCCAAATCAGCTGTTCTATGTCCTGTGCTATATACAAATGGGCCTGGAAAGGTACCAACTCCATCTCCCAGGCTCCCAATGTTGATGGGTAGAATTGATGAGACAGAAGGAGAAAATGGTTAAAGGTTTTAACACTTTAATTAATACATGAGAACTTGTTATTTGATGAATTAAGCAATGTGTTATCTGTTTAAGAATTCACTCAGAGAAAATTTAAAATATGGCATACTGCTTGCATTTAATAAGTTACATTAGGAATGTTTTCCCAGACTCCTGAAAACCTTGAAGAACCCAAGAAATTGAAATTTTAAAAAGAGATTTGGAAAGGTGTTCTGAAAATTTTAGATAATGACCCAACTCCTAATTTTAAAAAATACACAGTGCAGACAAGAATATATCACAATGTACATTCAATTATTACTTGTGAAAGAGAACAAGGAGAACTTGCAATTTCAAATTCCAGAGTCTTAGATTGATGTTGCAACTAGGGAGGGATTGCTAATGCCATAAACCAAGTGAGAAATGGGGGTAGATAAAAATAGAAAACCATATATATATAGTAAGGTAAAGTGAAACATTCACCAAAAAAAGTTGACAGGAAAGTGGTCATCCTGAAAATTTTCTAGAGCAGCAACATTATTTGAAATGTAGAAAACACATACTAGACAAAACTGATGGAAAAACAGTTTCCTCATTTGAATCTGTAAGACTCAATTTTACTATCATGAAAAAAATGGACTAAAAAAGTTTTTAGAGAAAAGCAGATAAACTGAGTTTACTTAGTGGTTGAAGTTCTCATCATGGGTAATGAGGAAATAGTATCATACAGATGTAGGGCATCATTGGAAGATAAGATACTGTCAAAAAGCTACAGGATACTTTTCAAATGTAGTCTTTATTATTAAACATTTATGATTCCAAAATATAGAAGTTTCAGCTAACAAGTGATTTCCAGTTATCTATCAATTATTAACATTTTGAGAGTACTTAGGTAACACTTCTTATTTGTATAAGCAGACCCTCACAACTTTGTGAAATAAGTAGTCACTCCTACTATTCTTTCTCCCATCAAAGGAAGAGGCAGAAAAGGTCTTCTGCAGCATTACACACATCTTTGCCAAAAGTTATTAAGATTAAGAACCAATCTAGGTGGACTCTTCATCAAAAGTTATTTTTGTTATAACCATTCATCCTACCTAAGTAGCAGAGGAGAGAAATAGAGGGTTTTTACCTGGCTTTCAGTTGGAGAAATGGAATTTGTGTATTTGGTTTTTTATTGTGCTAGAGATTAAACACAAGCCCTGGTGTGTGCTAATCAAGCACTCTACCACTGAGCTACATCCCAAGACCAGGAGAAATGAAATAGAGTGCGAGCTAACCAATGCTAAAATTCCTAAGATTAACTTAAGAAAGCATGTAAAGTGGTATTGTTTTATACTTTATATGCTGCTTATTTTTTTAGCTAAGCAGTTTACTAGGTCTCAATTTTCAATTTTATTTGAAGATGACTTTTTGCTCATCCTTTAAATAGTCTAGAGAAGGTGGGTGCGGTGGTGCACACCTATAGTTCCAGTGACTGGGGAAGCTGAGGCAAAAGGATCACAACTTTGAGGCCAGCCTTGGCAATGTAGCAAGACCCTATATCAAATAAATAAATAAATAAATAAAAAGGACTGAGAATGTAGCTCTGTGGTAGAGTACCCCTGGGTTTAATCCCCAGTATTTAAAAAAGGCCAGAAATATAATTCACTTATTTATAAAGACACATTTATCTTATAAAAAAGTAGAGTATCTAAAAGACTATCAGCAAAATATTTAATTTTTTATTTTTTGTAGTACTAGGGATTAAACACAGGGATGCTATACCACTGAGCTATACCCCCAGCCCTTTTTGAAACAAAATCTCACTAAGTTGCTTAGGTCCTTGCTAAATTGCTAAGGCAACTTGTGATCCTATCACCTTAGCCTCCTGAGTCAATGAGAGGTGTGTACCAGCATGCCCCAAAGTAAAATAATTTCATTTTTAGGTAATACTTCTTATTTGTATAAGCAGACTTTCACAACTTTGTGAAATTTTATAATACTGTCAAATAGTTTCCTAGATAAGATCTTTTTTTTTTTTTTAGAAAGACTGAGTTTCTTTTTTTTTTTTAAGAGAGAGTGAGAGGGGGACAGAGAGAATTTTAATGTTTATTTATTTTTTCTTAGTTCTCAGTAGACACAACATCTTCGTTTGTATGTGGTGCTGAGGATCGAACCCGGGCCGCACGCACGCTAGGCGAGCGCGCTATCACTTGAGCCACATCCCCAGTCCCCCAGATAAGATCTTGATCATAAAATGTCAGTGGTTTTCTAGCACTTCCTGAATGAAGTTTAAACTCTTTGCTCTGGCTCCCTTACCTAATTCATCAAACTTGCCTTATTTACTGAATTTAACAAAGTCATGATCTTTTCAACTAAACATGTCATCCTATCCATGTAATAATTAGTCATACCCCACAAGTAGTATTTCCTTTCTCTGAACTTCTATAGCCTTCAGCTTACCACTCACAAGATTATTTCTCAGTGTACTATCTTCTCTGCTACAAATCTTGTCAAACTTATCATAATAAAAACCTAAGTATATAGGTATATACGTTTTATCCCTTCCACTGTCTAGCATAGTAGGTACTAAAAATACTTTTCTATGACATTCCTCTCCTCTACAGAGATTTTAGGGCCAGAAGAGTGAAAGAAGCTCCAGGGGTCCTCTATTAATTTCAGAATTATATTTGTATTGTTTTCTGGTTTCTATAACATGCCTGCCTCTCTTCATGTAATTCCAGAAATAGTTAAATACCACTGAGCTTGATGTCACTCACCTGTAAGCCCAGATACTCAGGAGACTGAGGCAGAAGGATTGCAAGTTTGAGTCCAACCTGGGCAATTTAGCCAGATCTAGTCTCAAAATTAAATTAAAAAGGGGGGCTGGGGATGTGGCTCAAGCGGTAGCGAGCTCGCCTGGCATGCGTGCGGCCCGGGTTAGATCCTCAGCACCACATACCAACAAAGATGTTGTGTCTGCCGAGAACTAAAAAATAAATATTAAAAATTCTCTCTCTCTCTCTCTCTCTCTCTCTCTCTCTCTCTCTCCTCTCTCACTCTCTCTTTAAAAAAATAAAATAATAAAATAAAAAGGGACTGAGGGCATGGGTCAGTGGTAGATTTTCCTGGGTTAAATTCCTAGTACCAAACGAGAAAGAAAAAAAAAAATACAGTTGCTGGCTATTATGGTTTGGATGTGAGGTGTTTCCCAAAACTCACATGTGTGACAGTACAAGAAGGTTTGGAGGAGAAATGACCTAATCAGTGAATACCTGATGGATTAACTGAGTGGTAACTGGAAGCAGGTGGGGTATGGCTGGAGGAAGTGATTCATTAGGGGGCATAGCTATGGGTATATGTTTTATATCTGGAGAGTAGAGTCTCTTTCTCTCTCTCTCCTCTCTCTCTCTTATCATCATCATCATCATGTGAGCTGCTTCCCTCTGCCACACTCTTCCACCATGATGTTCTGCCTCACCTCCAATCCCAAGGAATGCATCCTACTGTCTATAGACTGAAATCTCTAAAACTGTGAGCCTCCAAATAAACTTTTCCTCTTCTACAATTTGTCTGGTCAGATCCTTTAATCATAGCAGTGAAAAAGCTGACTAAAACACTAGCCCATCATGAATTTGAATGTTAAAAGTCATTCTAAGATTAGCAAAAATTTAGAAAAGGTAAAGATTATAAGACAAAAGGAAATGGCCAGCTGGTAAGGTTAATTTAAAATGAAATTTTAAAAAGCTAGACAAGATTAAGTAGAGAAAGTCTACAGATTTGGAAACTAAAGAAGTTTAAACTGGACTAAAATGGGGGATAATAAAGGCAACGAAAGATAATAGAGGATTATTAAATGAAAAGCCCTTCTGTTTTGAAAGTACCTAATCAGCCTGAAGTACTTCAGAGCAGGAATCCAGAAATGGCACTTGAGAACAGACATGAACACTATGATGTTGGGTGAATAAAACATGGTCAGACAGTTATCAGAAGCAGAATCCACTTATGACATAGTCTGGCAAGGCTGGAGGCTAGTGATATACTTAAGCACCTAAGAAGATGATATCAGTCTTTGAAGAACAGAGGTGATTTGGGTGGAACATAAGGGATATCACAAAACTCTTGTTACTCATGTTTAACTCACAGCTTTGAGTCTTGATTTCATATGTTGATTCTTTGGATATTGTAGAGTTCTTTTCTTTAGAAGCTCAAGATTCTCAATGTGCTTCTACCTACAGTTGGGTTTCTATTCATATAACCTGCCAATTTTCCTATTCCCATCCCACAGGGAAGTTTTGAAGCCACGAATAATAATTATAAATATTTAACAAGATTGCTCTGACCTGGAGGAAGTTAGCTGTCATAAGCCTTTGTGCAGTTGACTTTAAGTAGGGGGAGAAGGATATACAGGGTATCATAGAACTTGGTTAGGCCCAAGATATGTAAAAGGTGACAAAGAAGATGTTGAACATTAGAGAATTACATAAAAATTCATAATCATTTTACCTGACTTAATAAATTAATTTTTATTTACCTGAATGCAAAAGAGTAGCAAACCTGATTGCAATAATACAATTCTATGGATGAAGCCATCTCCCAATATCTTAATCATTAAGAAGTTGTTTAAAGCATTCTTACCATCAGTACTATCCTCATGAAGAAATATGGATTCCCCCACCCCAAATCTGGCAACACTATATACTTGGCACAAATACATAGTATTGACCCAGAATCTAGAATCTGAGAATCAGACACAAACACAAATGGCATTAGTTACAAATCTCTCAGAAATCTAAACACAGATTTCCAGAGCTATGCAGATCATTTCACAGGTACATCCAGTCAGTATTTATTAGCACCTATATGCAAGGCACAGTGAGGGGTAAAAGACCTCATGAACCTGACCTACTCATGAAGGATTCATTATTAGAAAATGAATGGTAAGAGCAGCAGCCCCCAGATTAAGAATTATCCATCCAGGAGAAAACAAAAATACTGCTGTGGCATTTAGCTATTCTGGAAGGCCATTTAAGTCCAATAGGTAAGAATAAAACACTTTAAGTCTACCTTTTCCAGACAACATTCCTCAAAAAAGTTTGGTTCCAACCAATTTCTAGAATGTGGAAGATAATTCATCTCAGATTGTTTCCTAACACATGATGAAACACTGGTAAATAAAGCCCTGGCCTACAATTTCTGTAGTGCTCCAGGCTAGCTTCAGTTGAATTACAAATAAGCCCCAACTTTGGCATGTATAGTCAGTGAGACAGAATTTTTTTCCCTACATGGCTCCTCTGATGTTGAACAAGGTATGAAGTTCGGGTGAAGCCTTTTCCACATGCATCACACTGATAGGGTTTCTCACCAGTATGGATTTTTTGATGTTCAATAAGGCTTCTATTCTGAGTAAAACTTCTTTCACACTCATTACATTTATAAGACACAGGAGTTCCAACATTTTCCCACTGGCTTTCTATCCTACCGTGACCTTCCCAGGCCTCTCCATGCTCAGGCTCCTGATTTTTATCAGCATGGATCCTCTGATGTCTCAGAAGATGTGAATTACGCCTAAAGGCTTTGCCACACATCTTGCATTGGTATGGCTTCTCCCCAGTGTGAATTTTGTGATGTTCAAGGAGGCTGCAGCTCTGGCTGAAGGTTTTCCCACAGTCATCGCATTCATAGGGCTTCTCCCCAGTGTGAGTTCTCTGATGTTTGATAAGGTTTGAACTGTGACTGAAGACCTTGCCACATTCTTCACACTCATATGGCTTCTCACCAGTGTGAACTCTCTGATGAATGACAAGGGCAGAGCTCCCAATGAAGGTCTTCCCACAGTCTTCACACTCATAGGGTTTCTCTCCAGTATGGATTCTCCTGTGCTTGGTCAGGCCTGAACTCTGAGCAAAACTCTTTCCACATTCATGGCAAATGTGTCGCCTACTCCCTGTGGCATTTTTCTGCTTTCTTTGCAACCCACCTTCATCCTGTTCACCAGCTTCTGCACCTGCAGAGATTTGTGCAATGTCCTCACCAAGATGGTACAATTTCTGCCCAGGCTTTTCTAGATGTTCCTTTGCTGGAGGCAAATCCTGAATTGTAGCCTGTATTTTACCACCTGAAACAACAAGACAACAACTGTTAATTATAGGAGCAAAGCTCTATGATGAAAAGTGATGAGGCAAGAATTACAGAGTTATATGCTTGCCAAGGATGAGAATTTAAGTTCAAAAATAAGGGTGGGAATAATGGAGGAAAAGGAATGCTGGAGAGGAAAGAGACCTGAGAATGGAAATGGGGCCATTGAAAGAAGGGGACAACTGGAAACAAAAGAAGTGGAAGAAGAGTATCAAAAACAAAGTACTATATTGAGCATTTATGGAGTGGAGGCTTGAAAGAATAGTAAGGCAGAGTCATAGACCCAGGATTAGATACCGATAGGTCTGAGCAGAAGGCAATCGTAAACAGACCAAGCAAAAGGATTTCTGAAACATTCTGTAACAAACAGCAAAAGTAGAAACTTAGAAATTGATCACTGATCAATGATACAAGTTGTTATTTCTGCTCTTATTTCAGGCAGCAGTAGGATCCCCAAACAGAATAGGCATTGGTGCTGGGAGTTCTGAGTCAGAGCACCTACTGTGCCATCAATGAGCTGTGTGACCTCTGACAAGTCGGATAACCCTCTGTGCTTCTTCACCCTCACCTCTAAGACAGTGTAGTCTGTAGTCAGTGTCTGAGGTTACTACTAACTTTCACACTGTTTGACTCAATGGTCTGTTTCCTGAAGAGGCCCTTCAGGTTTTCTCCTCTGTCAGGGCTAGAAATTCAAAGGAAATCAACATTTACTGAGCACCTACTTGAGCCACAACTGTACCAAGGTTTGTATCTACTTCTTCTCATTTAAACTGACCAGAATACTGACATGGTAGAGAAGAAGGCACGGATCAGAGGTTTAGGAGTTAATTATACATCTGACCTTCAACAGGGGTTCAGAAATGGTGGTTCTGAAACCAAACATACTCCAACACATTCTAACAATCCGGTAGGTTCTAATACACAAAATGAAAGAAAAAAAGATACCTTAGTAAAAATTAGGGACTATTAATCTTACCCAGGGAGACTAGGTTTCCACAGTTTTCCTGCCTTTCATCTCTGTAGAGGTTCATTTGAGATGAATTCAGCTGTGTCCAACCAGGAGAGAAGGTCAGGGCCACATTTTCCATTTTCAGCATCCTCTAAAACAATAAATAATCCCACTTAGTACTTCTTGCCTATAATCACTCCCAAAGCAGGATACTTGCAAAGAACAGACATAATTCTTTAGAAAGGGCCTACCTAACCTTATCTCAATAAAATCTTAATTTAAAAGAACTGTCAAAGGCAAGAAACAATTACATTTGATGTAAGTACTTCCATATAAATATCTAAACAGTCCAGAAAGTGAAAAGGTTTGGAAAACAAGGGGCAAAACAAAAGGAGTAGAACCATATCCAAACTCTCCAAAAGATGTGTGGTATGCTTTGGTAAAGGAGCACGTAAGGGCTTATTTACATTAATGGTTTTTAAAATACAATAAAATCTAGATCTGAGGTAAGAAAAAAATACAAAAACTCTGCAAACACTGAATACTTCAAGCAGGACATTAAAGACTGAGAAATGAAAATCTAGGTTTAGTAAATCTTCCTTCTGGGAGTGGTGACACACTCTGTAATCTCAGCTACTTAGGGGAAGCTGAGGCAAGAGGATCACAAGTTCAGAGCCAGCTTCAGCAACTTCATGAGACCCTGTCTCAAAAAATAAAAAGGGCTGGGGATTACAGGTGTGGTAGAGCACCCTGGGATCAATCCCCAGTATCACATTAAAAATAGGGCTAGGGATATAGTTCAGTTCATAAAGTGCTTGCCTCACACACACAAAGCCCCAGGTTCAATCTCCAGCACCACAAAAATAAATAAATAAATAAACAAGCAAAAAAAAAAAAAAAGTTGGGAATGTAGTTCAGTGGTAGAGTACTTGCCTAGTATGTGTAAGGCCCTTGATTTAATCCTCCTCACTGCCAAAACAAAACACCCCACAAAACAAACCACCATTACAATGAAATATTTAGTTGTTGAAGAAAAAAAATCCCACTGATAAAGGGGCTAACCAAAGAAAAGGGAAGCACAGAGAACCCTTTCCTGTAAGAAAACAGGAAAAGCCTCTTAAGTGGGCATCAAATATTAACCAATGATGAGATGAGAAAACTCAAATCCTATGTGGATTTAGAATGGGGTAGGGAAGAACTGGGGAAAGAGAAACCTAATAGGAAGCCTACCAATAGTAAAGTGTGTGGAGTATCAGAAAGGGGAGGGCTTTTAACTCACCTGGGACAGTGGAGTGGATCTGGCAGCTACTGGGGTATCTTCTCTGCAAATGATTCCCTGAGAAAGTCCAGGAACCTGGAGAACTAAGAAAGAAAGAAACTCTGGATAAGATATACCCTGGTGTTTAGCCTCCTTGCCTTATGGAATCTAAGATCAAAAACTGGGTTAGAACAGGGCAGGGTGGTGCATGTCTATAATCTCAGGGGCTCGAGAGGCTGAGGTAGGAGGATCATGAGTTAAAAGCCAGCCTCAGCAAAAGTGAGGTGCTAAGCACCTCAGTGAGATCCTGTCTCAAATACAAAATTGGGGGGGTGAGGCTGTGGCTCAGTGGAAGCACACTTGCCCAGCATGTGTGAGTCACTGGATTCAATTCTCAGCACCACATAAAAATAAATAAAGGACTGTCAACAACTAAAATATATTTTTAAAAAATACAAAATAGGGCTAGGGCTATGGCTCAATGGTCAAGCGCCCCTAAGTTCAATCCCTAGTACTCCAAAATTAAAAAAAAAAAAAAAAAAAACTGGGTTAGGAAATTGTTGCTGAGAAGTTTATACAGTGTGTTCCTTTCCAAAGTGCAAAGGCCTAAGGAGTTCTGGTATGCTCCTGCAGACACACAAAAAATATGGGCAGAATTCTTGGGAGGAATGGTAAAGTGAATACAATATAAAACCAAAACAAAGCTTTTCATTTTTAGACCTTTTGGTCTTCAGCTTTGATGGGAAGAGAAAAGGGGTTTTGTTTGTTTTTGTTTTTTGTTTTGGTTAAACTGTCTTTAGTGTGTATTAGAGTACTTTCCTCTTAGGTTCTGAAAAACTGAGAAAAATAAGGCTGATCCCATAAAGAAGACAGAGAAGTAGAGAGGAACCTCACTTTCCCTATAAGAAATGAACACTGCAAGATTCAGAAAAGGAGTTGGTTTAGGCCAAGACTTCTGTTGGGAAATAAAGACTATATGTTGAATGGTAAGTCTAAGTATTGTACATTCTGGGAACCTGCCTGAATGAACCCCCTAGAACACAAAGTTGCTTCCTGATAAATGATTTTCACCCTGTTTTCATTACAAATCTTATATTTAGAAGATGTATTCTCTTTAATTTGCAACAGTCCTACCATTTCTGGCTTTACAAATTTAGTTGGCTTTACAAATTCTACCTTATTTTCTTCATAGCACTTGTGAATATCTTAAATTATATTATTGATTCATTTTTATCTTCCCTACTAGAATATGAGCTCCACCAGAGCAAAAATTTGGTCTCACTGATGACTCTATTCCCAGTGCTAACAACACTGACTATTATAAAAAAGGTCTCCATAAATATATGTTAAATAAAAGGAGATCACTAAGTTTTTAAAAATAAATTCTTTCCTGGTGCCAAGTTTAATGAAGTCTTATTTAATATGTCTAGGTTTGGTTAGGAAAACTTTCTACTATTGTTTAAAATTCCTGTTTCAGTTGATCAGTAATCAGCATATAAAGTAAACATCAATAGTCAGTCATGGTGGCACACACCTGTAGTTACAGTAACTCAGGACAATGAGGCAGGAAGATCATAAGTTTGTGGCCAGCCTCAACAATTTAAGGAGACCCTCAGCAACTGTGACCCTACCTCAAAAAAAAAAAAAGGACTAGGCTTGGTGGCTCACACCTGTAATCCCAGCAGCTTGGGAGTCTGAGGCAGGAGGATTATGAGTTCAAAGCCAGCCTCAGCAAAAGCAATGTACTAAGCAATTCAGTGAGACCCTGTCTCTAAATTAAATACAAAATAGGGCTGGGTTTGTAGTTCAGTGGTCGAGTGCCCATGAGTTCAATCCCTGGTACTTCCCAAAATAAAATAAAATAAAAAGTAAAATGGACTGGGGATGTAGCTCAGTGGTAAAGCACCCCTGGGTTCAATCCCCAATACCAAAAAAAAAAAAGAGTAACTGTCAGTGGGTATAAGGAACTGAATCAAGTCTTTAGAATTCATACAGCCCAAGGCTAGGAATGTAGGTCTGTGGTGGAGTATTTGCCTAGCATGCACCTAGCACTACAAAGTAAAAAACAAAAGTAGATTCATACAACCCAGCCCAGAAAATAATACTCACCTCTGTCTTGTAGGTGCTGGGATGCAGGAGATTCATGCTTGAGCAGAGCCTTCATTGGTTGGAATTGGTTATTTTGTGATTCTTGAACTGGTGTCAACAATGCCACCTTGCAACAGAGCAGTTCTTGCCCCTGGTGACCACCGGGAGGCTGAAAGTCATTCATCAAGCATTTCTATCATGCCTTCTACATGTTATTTCTACTTTCTAGGCACTAAGACCTTTATGAATATTAATCCACTTAATTCAGACAACCCTAAGAGCTAGAACTTTGTGACTACAAAATTGAGGTCCAGTTTAGGTAGCTCACCTAAGACACCCAATTTATAAACAGCAATGCTAATATAGGAGCTCAGGCAGAACAATTCAAGAGCCCATAATCTTAACCATTATTCTGTGCTCCCCCATTATATGCAATTGTGCTTTTATGAAACTGTTTGGAATCTGGTGCTAAATTCTCAAAGAATACTAATATTTCTTCTTACCTGAAAAAATCTGGATAATAGTATCTAGTTTATGGGGCTTAGGAGACTAGTAAATAAGATTAAATAAGATTATAGTAGGCCAAACCACTCAACAGAGTTTGGCACACGGTATGTCCTTGTTAAATGTAGATTTTCTTCCAGACATCAGTTAGTTTTCAAGTTTCTTTCTCATGTGCGCTCAGAATTTCCCACATTCTTTATAAAGAATGTAAGAGACTCCAGATGATTTTTCACTGTTACAGAGCTCAGTGGAATCGATCCAAGTAAAGAAACTTGGTTTCCTGATAACTGATGGCTCTGAGAGAACTTGCACAAGAACACTGGAAAAAGATAAAGAGGAAACATTGTAAAACAGATGAGAAGATGGAGGTAAAAGTTCATCCATTTTTTAACAAGTTCAAACCCAGTGGTCTGTGAACTTGTATAGGAAAAAAATGGTCTTTTTTTTTACTAGTCTCTAAGAAAAATGTAACATTTAAACAAGCCAATGCGGCATAAGCAGTACTAAGACTTTGTCATCAAAATAGGTCTTATTATTTAGCACATTTAAGTTTAAAAAACACATATATAGAGCTTTACTAGACGTTTAATCATTTAATCATACACATTGCTAACTGTGTATCGATATGATTGAGTTCTTTTGTAATCCTTTATATTTTTCTTTATGTATTTAAATACTCTGAGTAAGGGTCCAGAATATCGATAAGGAGGTTCACAATACAAAAAGTGATCTTAAAGAAATACCCCTCGCTCTGCTCCGATCTTCAGGAAGGCACAGACCACAGCTCTTAGATACTAAACCTTTTCTTTCTACCTGAGGTGTGGGTTCATCCAGATGCTTCTCCAAATACTCCAACAGTACCACCACCTCCTCCCCGCTCTCTGGATGCTGCTCCCGCACCCAGTTCTGCAGGTCCCCAGGTAGGCTAGTCAGGAACTGCTCCAGCACCAACAGCTCCAGAATCTGTTCCTTGCTATGCATCTCAGGCCTCAGCCACTGTCGGCAGAGCTCCCGGAGCAGGCTCAGCGCCTCTCTGGGGCCTGAGGCTTCCGGATAACAGAAAGCGCGAAAGCGCTGGCGCGAACATTCCTTGCCCCAGGCGAGGCTACCGGGTGCGCTCTCCTCAGTAACCGAGGCGAATTCCTCCTTCTCCACCTTCACAGTCAGAATCCCCATCTGCTCTTCTGCAGAGTGGGCTTCCAGGGCAGTTTTTTCTCTCTGTTCTCTAGCCATCCCGAGCAAAAGCAGTGCTTGAATCGCACTCTAGCGCCCGTTGAATATCTTCGGAGAATTCATGAAAGATGGGAACTACTTGCCAGTGAAACTGGAAATGGTTCCCTCCTCTCATACCAGGGGCCCAGATCTTTCCTGAGGCGCAACTGCACAGATCTCTCCAGTAGTTCGTGCCTTGTGCAGCATACTCCTCTACACCCCACCCTAATCCCACAATAAATATTCTCAAAGGATGTCCTCGGGGTGAAAGTGAACGCTGTCCAGACACACTAGAGAAGTTGAGGCTGGGGTCTAGGAAGCCTCGCGGGGAATCAAAGTCACTTCCTGGGCTCTCTAGGAAATTCCTCTCGGTGGTTGTCTCCGAATTAACCCGTTAGGGATCCTGTCTTTACCCTCACTTAACGGAGGTTTGTTAAGGAGAGAATGACATACCGTGAATCATAAGAAATAGGACAAGAATCTTCAAAATCTAAAGGTTGCTGCTGGGGTCCTCAATTCTTTCTGATGTAAAACTTGCCTAAAAACCTGTCATAAAATTGACACTAAAATACAGCTAGAAAGCAGTGTTTCCTAGAGTCTTCAGAACTCTGGTAGGAGTTTTTGTTCCTTAGAAACATCAGAGAGGCAGAACACATCACCAGGCACTTGTTTCAGAATAATGAATGCCTCAGGTCCTTGCTCCCCCAACACCTCCCTTAGTCTGCCACCTTCCTCCCTTTGAGGCAAAAACAGTAAATTGAAGGAAAGCTCTCCCACCCTGACCTCATCCCCTCACAAATCCTTAACACATTCTAGGCAGTGAACTGCCAATGTAGCCACTGAGATAACTCCAGAAAAAGTAACCAGAAACGTCCTCCCCCAGCACCAGGTTACCACTTTGTTTTCCATAGCCTGTTCTCCAAGTTACCAATTTCAGTTTCCATGGCATGTAACCAGGCTTATGCTGCTCTCTGCTTCCAGAAACTCTCTAGTCCCTTGCTTTAGGTACATATTTTCCTCCTGCTTTCTTTCTTCCTGTTTCTTTCCAGACCCTATTCATGGTCTAGCACTGTGGGTAGATATATAGGCTCTCAAAGCAGATCAACTGAGTAATCCTGACTTTATCACTCATCAGCTAGGTGATATTGATAACTTAAATTTAACTTCTCCATATGTATGTGAGTCAGCCTTTTGTTGCTGTGGCAACAATTCTGAGAACAATAGTAAAATGTTACATGTAAAAACAATTTCATTTTAGCTGAACTTTCAAAATCTGGTGCTTTTTTAAATAATTGCAAAATATTGTTTTCCAAAACTGTAACTAATTCTTAAAGTTCTTCAAATATATTTGTGTTCTGTTAGTGAGTATTTGTTATCTATAAATAAAACACAAAAAAATAAAATCCTCTCACCTCCAAAATGCATGATATGTGTTTATTCTTATTCCCAAGCACACTTTTTGCACTAATGTTTTTTTGGCTAAGTCAGGGGTGATTAAACTACTGTCTACAAACCAAAGTTGACTCATTGCCTGCTTCTGTATGACCTGAGTGAGGAATGGGCCATTTTTGATCTGTAGACAGTAGTTTACTCACCCCTGACTTAATGACATATGAAACCACATAAAATTCAGTTTCCAGAAATAAAATTTTATTGGAACAGAGTTAGGTCCACTTATTTACATGTCTATGGCTGCTTTTGCTGTCCAAGAGTAAAAATCAAACAAAATGTTATTTGTGTAAAAAAGAATTTCATGCTGGGCATAGTGGTGCTTGCCTGTAATCCCAGCGGTTTGGGAGACTGAGACAGAGGATTGTAAGTTCAAAGCCAGCAACAGTGAACAGTGCAACAGTGAAGCCTAAGCAACTCAGTGAGACCCTGTCTCTAAATAGAATACAAAATAGGGCTGGGGATGTGGCTCAGTGGTTGAATGCCCCTGAGTTCAATCCTTGGTACAAAAAATAAAATAAAATTCATCCTTCCTGTTAGAAAAACTGTATTACAAAAAAAAAACCCTGTATTTTAATAGCATTCTGAATAAAAAATTATATTTCACCTATCTTAAAAATGTGTGAAAATTTGTATTTTCTCTTGCTATCAGTATATCATAGCTTGATGGTAGAGCGCTTTCCTGGAATTCATGAGATTTTGGGTTTCATCCCCAGCAGTACAAACAAAACAATGAACGAAACACAAAAACTAGGTATTTATGTAATATCCTTCACATTGCCTCTTGCCCGACAAAGCCTAAACTATATTGATCTTTTACAGAAAATATATTCCACATCTGTTGTAGGTTATAGGTTTCATATACACATGGATATATTCTAAAATTCATTTTCCCACGTGCTATTGGTTTGTTAATATTTGAATTTCCCATCAAATACTGCATGGCTTAATTTCAGTAAACTGAAGTAACATTTCAGATCCATTTCATTGAACTATTAAGTCCTCAAAACAAATTTTTTCTTTATTTACAGAGAATCTGTGGTGCTTACCTTATTCATTGCGATATTTTCCATATACGTGTGATCATTCATTTATATTACTCCCAGCTTGCCAATTCCTATATTAGAATGGTTTACGGTATGGTACTAATCCATGTCCTTTTCAATCACATTACTAAACTTCTTAGATCAAATTATATATTTTGGTTCTATTCAATTTAATTTCCTCACTTCATTGTTTACAATCCTAGCACCATGAAAGCATCATTCCTAAATTGTGGTTTAGCTCATCTTTCACTTTCAAAGTCTATGAGCTAACTGAACGGATCACCTTAACTAGAGAGAACTCTGGTGAGAGAAATGCCTACGTACATTTTAAGACCAGGGAGAAATGGTTTTGTGTGAAATATTCGCCATTTCAGAGAGTTTGCTCTAAAAATATCTTCAGAAAGTGGTTCCGAACTACGTTTCTTAAGAAATGATGCCAGATGAGGAGAGTCAACGGGGGAAAATTCGGGAAGGCTGTGATTCAACAAGAGAGGAACTAATTAGTTTATTTCTCACGGGGGCCCAGGTTGTAGAAAGTAAATTTTAAAAAATAGGCACCCACTCCCAAAAGGAAGACCCATACAGCCTCCCCTGATACCGGCACCTCACCGTCCAGGCGCTGACTCGGTGTTCGCCTGGCAACCCCACGGAAGCAGAAGCCGAGCGCGGGGAGCCCAGGAGCGGTTCCTAGTGCCTGCCCCTGCGTAGACAGGAAGTGTCGAGGCCTCGGTGTCTGCAATAACTGTCCTGCGTTGGCCATTTGGAGTGCTGCTCATGGCTCCAGTATCTCGGTCCAGCTATTCCGAGGACCCCCCAGGTTCTCAGAGGCCACGACGCAGCTCTTCTGGGAGCCCACCGTCTGCACGGAACAGGCGCTCCCCTTGGGGTGGCAGTTCCCGCCCTCACTCCCGAGGACCAGAGGGCCTCAAGCCTCCCTGGGTTGGGGTGAGCGTTGGCCCTTCTTATCCCCTTAGCCGCGCTGAGTCTCGGGAGCGGCCTCCAGGCCTCCACAGCTACGACTTCTCGTCCTCCTCTTCAATTTACTGTGGGGGATATCGCCACCACCACCGTCACCACCACTACGGGGGCGATTGGCAGTGGGCAGAACACTATGAGAAGGAAAAGGAGGAGAGCTATCGGCAAAGGAGGCTGAAGGAGAGAGAGAGAATTGGGGAGTTGGGTGCGCCTGAAGTGTGGGGGCTGTCACCAAAGTTTCCTGAGCCAGATTCTGATGAACATACCCCAGTTGAAGAGGAGCTGAAGAATCAAAAGAGTACCAATTCAGATTCCAGCTCTGAAGAAAAAAGAAAAAAGAAGACCAGTCGTTCAAAAAAGAAAAAAAGAAAGAAGAAGTCCTCCAAAAGAAAACATAGGAAGTATTCTGATAATGATAGTAATTCAGTCTCTGACACTGATTCTAGCTCCGATGATGATAAAAAGAAAGTCAAAAAACCTAAGAAGAAAGACAAGAAAAAGAAACACAGAGCGAAAAAATACAAGAAAAAGAATAAGAAGACTAAAAAAGAATCTAGTGACACAAGCTATAAAGCTTCAGAAGGGGAATTTCCAGAAGGTATCTGGATGGGACAGTCAAAGACTGCAGATACAATGGATTTAATAGGCCCAGAAGCACCTATAATACATACCACTCAAGATGAGAAACCTTTGAACTATGGTCATGCTCTGCTCCCAGGTGAAGGTGCAGCTATGGCTGAGTATGTAAAAGCTGGAAAGCGTATCCCGCGAAGAGGTGAAATTGGGTTGACAAGTGAAGAGATTGCCTCATTTGAATGCTCGGGTTATGTCATGAGTGGTAGCAGACATCGCAGAATGGAGGCTGTAAGACTGCGTAAAGAGAATCAAATTTACAGTGCTGATGAAAAGAGAGCTCTTGCATCCTTTAACCAAGAAGAGAGAAGAAAGAGAGAGAATAAGATTCTAGCCAGTTTCCGAGAGATGGTGTACAGAAAGACAAAAGGGAAAGATGACAAGTAAAGACGTTTGTTGCACAGCAGGACTTTCAACAACAAATTTTCCATCGCCAAAATAATTTGAAAAGATTTTTCTGTGCTGTTATACTTACTACATTAGTAAGTCTCTCAGGGAAAAAAAATCTGCTTTTTGAGATATCTTTAGTCATTTTATTTTTATTTTCCATTTAAAAAATACCTGCACATGATTTTTAAAATATTCAAATGTTACTGAAAGAGAGTAAATCTGTCACTCCAGTCCCCAATTTCCCTTCCCAAAGAAACCTCTTTTTGGTGTCTCCTGTATCTTCCCATCGTTTTGTGTTTATACAAGGGCATACTTTGCTGTATGAAGGTTAGTTTTATCCTGAAAAATGTTTTAAGGGTTTTTTTCTTCCACATTTCTTTGATCTTTCTTTTGGAGGGCTTCATTGCCTCTTGGAGCCAGTCATTTGCCTCGAAAGGACTAAAAGAATCTCAAAAAAGAACAAAGGATTCAATTGAGTATATTATTCTGGTTGCAGTTAACAGATGAGCTTTTTGAAAAATAGAAGACATTTGATTCTTATAAACTGAAAAGTTTAGACAGCAAATGTATTTCCAGTTTGGCTTTACTAAAACTTGGGATTATTTCCCAATCTTTCTTTTCCATGAGTCATTTTCCTCAAACTGGTTTCAAAAAGGCTGCCAAATCTCCTGGTCTGCCTGTAAATAGGAAAATATTTGTAATATTGTCTATAATATCTGTAAAGAGCCAATATTTCTGACTTCATATTCCAAACAAGAATCCAGATTTTCTTGGGTCTCATGCCCACTTAAAACAAGGGCTATTGCCAGGAAAACAGAAAGGCCTACTCCCAGAGCTACAGGTATAGTTAGTTTATGAGTTACATGGGAAAAGAGTGCTATCTGCTGAATGAAAATCAGGGTAATGTTGGACAGGGAAAATAGACAACCAACATATGCCTGTGGTGTTGGATTTAAAAAAAAAAACATGAAATAGTAGATTTGCTGAAAGTTGAAGAAAGTCTTGGCTTTGACTATTAGAAACCAAGTTCTGATTAAAGAGGACATAGGGTTTATATAAATGAGATATAAGAGTGAAACGATGAAGATTGGAGGTACTTGAGTCTTCCAAAGAGTAGATTGGGGTCACCTACACTAACTATCAAAGAAAAAATGAGAAGATATAAAGGAGGAGCAGAACTCATGAAGAGAAGACCAGATCAGGAGGTACTCCATGCACAGGAGAGTTAGCATTGAGAGACTGATTCAGGATTCTCTAGGGAAGACTAGAATAAACTCAACTTGTGGTCTGTCATAAGGCCTTTGTTGTCATTTAGTGATTTCTGCCTGATATCTCACTGATCTTGACAAGTTCAATAGTGGCCAAACTATCTCATTTGAATAACACCCTTCTCAAGGCTCAAGATACTGGTAAGCTGAAGGTGCAAAGGTGGGCTTCTAGAATCTAGCATGGAAGTGTAATGTGAAAGGTCACCTTCATCCCAACGTATGGTACAGTTGAAACTGGACCATTCCAGCTTGAGGTTTTCCCAAAAAACATGGGGGAATATTGACGAAAGACTGTTACATCTTCATTTTTAGAAATAAACAATTTATTCCAAACTAAACACAGGAATTGACAATTTGCTTTCTTCGCTTAATGGTAGATCTTGGAGATGTTTTGTGTCTGTCCATGTCATTCTCCTAAATGACTTATAGCATTCCATTGTATGAAAGGACTATATTTTACTGAATGTTTAAAGTATTTCTTATATTTTACTATTACACAGTACTGTAATGAAAATCTCTATGATGTGTGTGACAATATACCTAGCATATTCATCTAAAATAGAATTATTGGGTCCCAAAAAAATCCTCTGAAAGCCAGGCACGATGGTGCATCCCTATAATCCCAGAGGCTTGGGAGGCTGAGGCAGAAGGATCTCGAGTTCAAAGCCAGCTTTCAAAAGCTTTTTATCTTTGCCAATCTGATGATGAAAATGGCAGTTCATTTTCTTTTCATTTCTTTAGGAGGTAAGAGAAAGCATCTTTTAATATATTTATGAGTGTTTTACAGTTTGTATGTGTGAGCACACTTTATAACTTGTCTATTCTATAGGCTTTTTGTTTTATTAATCAAAAAATTTTCAAATAATAAAAAATATCTATCATGTATCTTGAGAATATTTCTTCCTTTTATTTTTTCCTCTAAATTTGCTTTATATAATCGAATGGATATACATTAAAAATAGAAATTTAAGCAAGATACATTACCAATTTAACAGAACCCGATAATCTAATTTCTTCCAATTTTTCTCAAATTCATTTGAGTGTTTCCATCATGGTGCTCATAAAGAAATCAAACAACATATGGCTACTACAGTTGAATGTCAAATTAAGTACATATGACATACTAAATTCTTCTATAATACAATTATGAAGAATCTTTAAGGAACTTATGTTTTGTATATAGAAAAGTGTTAGAGTCAAACATTCAACTCAACAAAATTAAGAAACATTTCTGATTCCTCTGTTAGGTGTAGACTTCTTCTCCTTTTACTAATGAATTTTTTTTTAGCTGTAATATCACTGAGATGAACAAATAAATCAGAAAAAATAAACACATGCTAAATGGATAAACATTACTACTACATCTTTACTAGACCATCTCTACCTCTAACACTTCAGAAGCTTAGAGATTTAGAGTATTCTTACATTAACTGCAAGAAAAATTAAAGGAGAAATTCCTTTTTTGAGATCACAGCTATGAAGTCATGTGGTTATAAAATTCTGCATTTGTGTGCAAAACATGAATCACATTTACCTTTATTCACCCTAATAGTCTTATCAATCACCTAGCAGGACTTAAGATACCTTTCAAAGAAACAGGGACCGAGATGTGTTTTTATAACTTCAATAATCTCATCACTACAGTAATGAAAGATGCAGTATCCTTTTGCTATGGTTCAAGACAATAAGGAAGGAGAGATCGCAAGAAAGAGAAATCAAAATTATTACAACTGAAAAACTACTTCTCATTAAGTTTTACCATAATGCCACTTTCATTTTTACATAAGCATGGTGGCATAATTCAAGTTCAATAAATCGGAAATCTTTATATTTAAAATTTACCTTGACTTTCATTTATCACCATATTAACAACCAAAAGAATTAGAATTGAGTGTTTCCATCATGGTGCTCATAAAGAAATCAAACAACATATGGCTAATATGTTGGAAAAGGTAATATTAAACCCAATTTGCTGAGTTGATTTATTGCCACATTAACTCATTTTTATATAGAAAAGGGATAGTGCATCTCAGTTTGCTTACAAGCTAGGGGATCACTTAAAATTCTGCATTTCCTAACTGCAAACAGAATATAGCACTTACAACAGGTTATAAATAAACTGGTTTTTAAGCATAGAGCCAGCCCCAATGATAATACACTATTTAAAAAGACCTAAGGCAATGAATTTCATTTCCAATGGGAAAAAAGAACTGTGCAAACAAGCTTAAAACTACTTTTTTGTGTGTGCCAGTGTTATAAAATGTAGCTTTTAATAAAACCTTGACCCAAATGCCATTAACTTCAGAAAATAATTTGGTGGAGAGAAGAAAGTTATTTCATTTAGGAAAAATAACCACTATCTTCTTTCCTAATCTTCAACACACACAATTTATTTATTTATTTATTTATTTATTTATTTATTTATTTATTTAGAGAAAGAGAATTTTTTAATATTTATTTATTTAGTTAGTTTTCAGCGGACACAACATCTTTGTTTGTATGTGGTGCTGAAGATTGAACCCGGGCCGCACTCGCGCTACCGCTTGAGCCACATCCCCAACCCCAACACACACAATTTAAACATATACAGTTGCTTTTAACACTTTACACAATTCCTATGTACTGGAGCAATAACAAGGTCTAAATACAATTATATTCTTAAACACTGGATCAAGGCTTTACATAAATATACCATCCTACTCCCCACCTCCACCCCCAGCCCCCACCCCCCACGGAAGTTTCTAAAATCACATAACTTTCCTCAACATCTGCAGCCATCCAGGAATTTTTAGGAAACTTTTTGTGCATGATTTTAATTCCTAATTTCTGGGGTGGGGGGGTGGAACTGACTCTACCCACCAGATACAAAATATATACTGCAAATCCAGGCACCCCAATGCCCTACCTCTTCCAGCCACATCCTACATGCCTTCAGTTACCTAATTTTTATTAGGGGCTTAATTCATTGCTTGAGTTAAGGCTCTCAGAACCCAATCATTTCTCCTCCAAATCTTGCATTGTCTCACATGTGAGCTTTTGGGGACACCTCACATCCAAACCTGATGGCACCATAAAGATCACTGTAGTTTATAAAAATGAGAATAATTCTGGAAAATGAAAATCTTAAATTAGAATGATTAGCAATGACTATTCTGTCCTGGTAAAAATGGCATTTTATCTACACTTGCCCCTCCCAAAATTTGCAGACAGACTAATTAACATGCACACTTTGCTAGTATGGTGACTTGCACCTGTAGTTCTAGTTCTTTGAAAGGCTGAGATATAATCATCACTTGTGTTCAGGAGTTCAAGACCAGCCTGGAGAACATAAATATTCAGGCTAAAAAATAAATTAATTAAAATGAATTAATGGACTGGGGATGTTGCTCAGTGGTAGAACCCTTGCTTACTTTGTGCAAGACCCTAGGTTCAGCCCCTTGCACTGAAAAAAAAATGTATTGTACACCCTAATTTTAAAAACTCTATTTAAGAATTTTGATTTTCATAGGCTATTCAATTCAATGCCAATGATCTCAGCCTTGACAAATTAGCCATGGAAGGGGAGTTTGAGAGGGAGAGCAAGATACACTTACTTCCTTTTGAAATGTAAAATTTTGTTATGTTTATCCTTTAAATAATTGGGGGGCAATCCCTTCTTTAGAGATAGAAATGAAATCAATGAATAAGTTTTCCCTTAAAGAAGGAATTCACATAAAATATTTACTGAAATTGTTAGCCTAACCAAAAAAAAAAAAATAAGTTAAATATATTCAACTTTTAAAAGATGCTTTCAAGTATCTGATGCCCAAGGATAAAAATATAACTTTCTTCATGATAATGAACCTGCTATTTTTCTTGTCATAGAACTACGTCATGGTACAATGGTTCCTTTATTATTTAACGATGTTTCAAAATTTCTGTCAACTGATCAATTAAATAGAAAAGTTTGTTCAGATTTTCTTTAAGGATTCATTTTATTCAAAGACTATAAACCAGTTTGTGACAAGATGGGAAAGAGGAACTATTTCTATTCTCTGCTATAAAATCTATTTTGGTAAAATAATATAATATAGATTTTTTTTTCCTCTCTGAAACCTACATTCAAGGGATTTTTTATGACTCTTTCCTAAGATAACAGACACTTTTTTAAATCACTTCAAACCTTTCAATTCAAATATCTTAATTGTTCAATTTAACTTTCCAAATATTTTGATACTAATTATTGTCATTGATGATTTTTTTGTAATTGGGAAGAAATGTGAAGTGTGAGCTTGTTTTATTTATTTAAGTGAGCAAAGTGGAAATGTTGGCTATGTTGTGCTAACATTCAACTGAGCTGGCCCGTTGCGAGACTAAAATAAGTTCGCGCTTTAAAATGAAAACAGGTACAGCAAAAACAGAATATCAACATAAGCTCACATTCCACTCTCCTCTTTGATGAGCAGGGATGCTTTAAAATCTCTCTAGCGAGGCGGACGCAGGACACCACAGAGTCAAGGTCCTCCAACGATCCTAGAGTGGAGAGGAAAGTGCGCCTGGGAGCGAGAGCTGACACTCTGAAAAGCTTAGCAACGTTTTCCAGAGCCTTTGGCTACCTCTGTGGGCCCTTGATCGGTGAGTGGTGATTGGGCTCGGGTTAGGGCAGAATTGTGGAATGGAGGTTTTAAGAATGGCCAACTCTAGATGGATGCAGAGAAGCTTTCCCCGATCGAGTTGCTGAGAATTCGAAGCTGGATACGTGGCGGCAGGTATCAACACTGAGGCCTATGAGAGGACTTGTTAACGATCATAACCTTCTGTATATTTTTCTTGCATTGAGCGCAATTTTAGATAAGTAGTAAAGGAGGGCCTCACTTGGAAGATAATCTTTGAGCAGAAATCTGAGAAGGAACAGCAAGCTCAAAGGCCTAAAGCTGGAACTTGTTTGACATATTTGGGGAATAACAGGGAAACCAGAATGGTTGGAGCACAGTGAATAAGGATGACATTTATAGGAATGATGGATTAGGTAGAGGAGGGTGTGGAAAAAATGGGCATCGAATATATAAAAAATTTGTTTTTTTCTTGGTGATTTTGGAGATAAAGCAGAGGAAAAATGTGAATTATTATTATTATTGTGTGTGTGTGTTTGTGTGTGTGTTTGTGTGTGTGTGTGTCTGTGTGTGTGTGTGTAGGGGGTGGTTAAGTACCCAAAACAATCTGACATGTTTTAAAGCTTCTCTAGCTGGGAACTCATGATGAGAATAGATTGTAGATGGGATGGGTAAGAGTATAATCAGGAAACAACATTTAGGAGTATTAAAAAAAAACTTGCAAATATGTCAAGTTTTTCATTAAAAAAAAACTTGCAAATAATTCAAGTGGGAGATAAAGATAGTTTTGGACTAGTATTGTGGTAGATGTGGTTAATAGTAGTCAGATTATTTGTCTGCTTTGAAAATAAAGTCAGTAATATTTGCTACTGGATCAAATGTAGGGTATAAATATAAGAGAAGGCAAAGATAAGCCAAGGTTGTTGTACTGTGGATGCAAGGGAAATTAGAGGAAATCTGAGGTTCAGCTTTGGGACCTTATGTAAATTCTTCACCTCTTCATGTCTCAGTTTCCTCCTCTATACATCGAGGTTAAAGTTGGCTGTGGCCACTCAAGCCTGTAATCCCAGAAGTTCTATAGGTCAAGGCAGAAGGATTTTGAGATCAGCCTCAGCAAGACTTAGTCTCAAAATAAATAAAATAAAAAGAGCTAGAGATATAGCTCAGTGGTGGAGTGCCCTTGGGTTCAATACCCAATACCAAAAGAGGGTGAGGGAAGAGAGCGAAGAAATTACTTTTTATAAGTTTGTGTGAGGATTAAGTGAATCAATAAATAGGAAGCAGATAGAATAGCTATATAGGCTAGGCAGTAGGAGTAGGATATATAAGGACCCAGGAGCAAGAAAGAGTATTGCAAGCTTGAAGAACTAAGAGTGATTCATAAGCAAAGTAGGTCATAAGAAAAGTTAAAGCACATTAAATTTTTTTTTAAAGATAAAGTGAGAGAGGAGAGAGAGAGAGAATTTTTAATATTTATTTTTTAGTTCTTGGCGGACACAACATCTTTGTTGGTATGTGGTGCTGAGGATCGAACCTGGGCCGCAGGCATGCCAGGCGAGCACGCTACCGCTTGAGCCACATCCCCAACCCCGCACACTAAATATTTTGAACTTGCTCTTAAGAGTAATGATGAGCCATTAGATGTAACAGACATAGACACAATACAGACACAATATTTCATATCCTTCTTAGAAAGATCACTGATGGCCATGTAGAAAATAGATTGGTGTAGCAGAAAGACTAGTTGTAGTAGTCTGAGTAAGAGAAGGTGGTGGCAAAGGGGGATAATGAGAAGGGGTTGGACTTGAGGGATATCTAAGCAATAGAATCAGTAAAACTTAATCAGATACATGAACTACAAAAGGAGGAGAGAGCAGCCAGTTTTCTGACTCAAATAGCTAGGTAGATGGAACTCTCCCCCAAAACAGGTTGTTAATTACTGATTATGTATTATGCTGATATATTTAATTAATCATAAAAATCAACCATATCATACACAATATACCTGTATTGGTCAGGGCTTTCTAGAGAAACAGAATTAATATCTATATTGAACAATCAGTAGATAGATATATAGAAATAGAGTTGTTATAGTTGGGTGTAGTGGTACATGACTGTAAATCAGCTGTTCAGGAGACTGAGGCAAGAAGATCTCAAGTTCAAGACCAGCCTGAGCAACTTACTGAAACCTGCCTCAGAATAAAAAGGGGTATAGGGATGTAGCTCAGTGGTAGAGTACCAAATATCTGGGCATCCTGTGGCTCAGAGTCGACCCAAAATTAACTGTTATAATACCAAACTCATATTTTCTGGCTAATAATAATCATTTTTCATTATTTTCTCATTTAATCTGAAATCTCTGTGAATTAGGTATCATCTTCATTTTACAAATAAGTTAACTAAGTCTCTAGGAAGATAAGGGGACATGGCTTGTAAGTGACAGGGCTGAATTAGAAGGCATAAGACATAGACATAAGACATAGTTTGTTTTTTTTTTAATCTTTTCCTTTTGGGGGGAGGGGTGGTAGTTCTGGGAATTGAACCCAGGGGTACTTTACCACTAACATACATCCCTAGTCCATTTAATTTTTTGGTGATGTAGAGTTTCACTTAGTTGCTGAGGGTCTTGCTAAGTTCTTGAATTTGCCATCCTCCTGTCTCAGCCTCCTGAGTTGCTGGAATTACAGGCATGCCCCACTGGGTCCAGTGGCATAGGTTCTTGCTATCAGACCATATCTACAGAAATAGACCTTATTGTCCTACTAGATACTCTTTATTTTCACTTTTCTTCTTAAATATAAATGTTTCCTAGGGTTCCAGCTCCCCATAATCTTTCTGTAGCCATTATAACTACTGTACTGAAGGCCAACAACTCTATGTTGACTTCTCTCTGTCTGAAAACCCTTTCCTTGTTTTCTTATCTAACTTTCACTCATCTCCATGAAGCCTTTTCTGACCTGTTACTGAGATTTTACTTTACCATTTTGCTCTTCTAGCATCCTATGCATGCCTTCATCAAGACATTTAATCCACTGAACTATAATTGCTTCTTTATAGTAAACAGTTAATAACAGTTAAGATTTATTGAACCAGGTGCAATGGCACATGCCTATAATTATATCTACTTGGGATACTAATGTAGGATCACAATTTCATGGCCAACCGCATCCATTTAGCAAGATCCTGTCTCAAAAATTAAAAAGTGCTAGGGATGTAGCTCAGTGGAAGAATGACCCTGGGTTCAATCCTCAGTACTGGGAGAAAAAAAAAATATATATATATATATATTGAGAAATAGAGAGCAGGGCTGGGGATATAGCTCAATGGTAGAACACTTGCCTAACATGCAAAAGGCCCTGGGTTCAATCTTCAATACCACAAAAAGAAAAGAAACAGAGCAGTAGAGGTTCAAGGAGTTGTCCTTTATTTCTTCAGCGCTTAAGAGACTAGCACATAACAAGCCATCAGTAATGATTTATGAATATTCTGACACTGGATTTAATGAACATATAATAAGTAATATTTATTTACTTATTTACTTTAAAATATTTTTTAGTTGTAGACGGACACAATACCTTTGTTTATTTATTTTTATGTGGTGCTGAGGATCGAACCCAGTCCCTCACGTGTGTGAGGCAAGCACTCTACCACTGAACTACAGCCCCAATCCCTACTTGTTTTTTCTGTATCTTTTACCAAGCCCATTTTTTTACTTGTTATTTTGAGACAAGGTCTTGCTAAGTTGTGGAAGGCCCCACCAAATTGCTGAAAGTGGCCTTGAACTTTCAGTCTTCTACCTTGGACTTCCAAGTCATTGGGATTACAGAGCCACCACACTTGGCTCTCTTTCATCATTTTGAGAATTTTCAAATCCTTCAGAAATACTGAAAGAATAATACATGTAATGTCTTTGTGTACCAGCAGTTGTCAATTTCCTATTACATTTGTATGTTCTTACTCTTTACACACACACATTTGAAAGTTTCAGCATTCACTTTCTGCTAATAAGACTATTGTTTTTTGTGACCATGAACTGTCATACCAGCTAAGAAAGTTCTGTGTCAGGGGTTAATAACCATTATCTAGCTGGGGATGTAGCTCAACAGTAGAGCACTTACCTACCATGTGCTAGGGCCTGACTTTGATCCCTTTGATCCCCAGCACTTGCAAATAAATAAATAAAAATTGGGCATAACCATTGTTTATAAAGGATTAGATAGTAAACATTTTCAGCTTTATAGGTGATACCCTTTGTGGCAGCTGCTCAACTCTGCCATTGTATTGGGAAAGCAGATATAAACAATATCTAAACAAATGGATGTAGCAGTATTATAATAAAGGAATCCAAAATAAGGTAATAAGGTCCAGGCTTTACTTGGTTTTCTGGGCTATAGTTTGCCTACCCCATTCTAATCTTTCATTCACATTTGGACTTCTGAATTTTTCAAAAAAAAAAATTGTAGCTTTTTAAAATTATTATTTCACACATTGCATTTAGTGCTCTCCTTAATGTAGAATATCCTCCCAATACCTTCCTTTTATTTTTGAGCCCATGCCTATTATAAATAAGCTGCAGTCTGGATTTATCTCAAAGTTTTCATTATTAAATTCATGATAAACATTTTTAGTAGAAATGCTGTATAGATGATAAAGCACTATTGTTGTTGCTAAGTTTGATCATTAGGTACATTTGTGACTGCCAAATATCTCCATTTTCTCCTTTGTAACTAAGTAGCCATTGGTTTGGGGTTTTTTTGAGACTGACAATGTCTATGGTCACACTCCTTTCACCCAGTGGTTTTAGTAGTCCTTGATTGAATAATTCATTTTGAGGGCTGCAAAAATGGTGATTTTCAAATCTATTATTTCTGCCATGTTAGATGGCAATCTTCTCTAAAACAATGTTTTCTCATTTTATTTATGTGCTTAGGAATGGTTACTTTAGGAAAAAAAAACAAATAAATAGTAGAAAGCTTATAAATCCAAGAATTGCTATTGTTATTATTGTTACTACTAACATTACTACTTCTGTGATTCTTGCTATTATATTCTTAGGAGTACTCCTGAGAATACAGTCAAAAGAAAGTTCTCCAAAACAGAGCAGTCTGAAATTGGGGTTGGCAACAGCATTGGTGAGTGCTCATTCCATTTCTCCTCTGAATCTGAAGAAGAAGAAACTTTGAGTAATGAAGGAGGATTGATATGTTACCAGAGTCCTAGATTCTCTGGGCCCCAGTAGACCAGATGCAGATACCCAGTGTCTCAAGAATACAATCAAAGAGAAAAACTGGTGATGAAGCAAGAAAGAAATTTATTAATCAGTATGGTTACACTGAGAAAAAACAAGCAGATGAGTATCCTAAACCTTGTCTTCTGGGTTCTGACAAGAGCTTCAGGAATATATAGGAGGAAGACAAAAAGTGGTAGCAAGAAGTCTTAGTCAAAGTGTAGTCTGGTTGACCATTATATCAGATCTGGTTCTTTGAGGTCCTGCTGGCTCTAGGGAAATAGTTATTACTTGAGGAGGCAATTTGGTTCCCATGATGACACAATTGTTCCCATGTAGTGGAGCATCCTTGATTCCATCATGGGGTGATCTGCCGTCAGATCCTAAAATTCTTGAAAATATCTTAAGGCTTGAAAGGTTGAAATAAGAGAGGTTGAGTAAATGTAGAGTTAATGAATTACATTACCAATATTTAAAAAGACACTTCTTATTAACATGTCTATATGCAGAGTTGAGCAGAAATCTGACCTAAAGTTTAAGGTAGCAAAAGAAATAGCTGTAGGACCAAGTGAAGAGTCAATACTTTTAGCAAAAGCAGCCTTTAAGTCCCTGTTACAAGTACTCTACTTGAAAACAAGGATTCAAGCTGTAAGGAAATAGGAAAGGCCTTGGACAGAGCCATTTACAAATAATTCAGACAGTTGTGTAATGAAGAAATCACAGAACTTGAGAGACTTTGAGCCATCTCTGCAAGATCTGCCAATAGTGGCTGAGCCTGAGACGAAGAACAGACCCTGGAGCTGCTGGTGCTCCAGCAATTCCCAGCCATCCTGCTCAAGGAGTCCCAGGACTGAATGCAGGACCATTGTCCAGAGAGTAGGGAGGACTTGGTTGTTGTACTGGAGCATTTGTAGCAGGAGTATGGAGAAACAGGACAAGAGGAGATAGAAATCAGATGTGCTCTTTTGCAGGAAAACAAGAATTAAGCCTCTCCCCAGACAGTTGGGCGTGAGCACAGTTTAGTTTCTTTCCTGTCTGGGTATTCATCTTTATTTGGTTTATTTTTATGTGGTGCTGAGGATCGAACCCAGGTCCTCGAACGTGCTAGGCGAGCGCTCTACCACCGAGCCACAACCCCAGCCCAGGGTATTCATCTTTATAGGTCTTAACATCAGCCTTACTTGATCCCTACTGGAAGGAAACTGAATGTGCTCTAGATTTCCCTCCCATTTTCTTTGCCACTTTGGGGTTTCTTTTTTCTATCTTTGAAGTGTTTTTGCAACAAGTTTCCTAAATCTACATGTACTTAATTATCTCTACATGTACCTAATTATCTGTAAAACCCAAATCAGGCAAAGAAATAAAAAATATTTGTGGAAGAAGCAGCCCCTCTGAAAAGAGGGCAAGAACGGCAGGTCCTATCCAAGTGTGACATTCAAAAACCTGAGAAAGAAAAGGGTAAGAACTAAATTGCATGTTTTTGCTTATGAGGTGAGAGAGGCTGTGCACTTCCCTTTGAGGCCCTACCAGCAATGTTGGTGTTTTGTTTGTTTTTGTTTAAAACCTTTATTTATTTATTTATTTATTTGTGGTGCTGAGGATGGAACCCATTGCCTGTCATGTGCTAGGTGAGCGCTCTTCTGCTGAGCCACAACCCCAGCCCCAACCTTGGTGTTTTGTGTTTTGTTTTTGAGTTAGATTTATTGAGGTATAACTTACATCAGTAGAATTCACTGTAACTCTACCAATCAATGAGTTTTCACAAACATGAGAAAAGTATAGTCTTCTAATCAGCACCACAATCAAGATATAAAAAATACGCATCACTCTAGGCATTTTAGTTGAATAAAACACCCCAAAAGGTGAATCTGGACCTTCATCTTGCTTTTCTTCCCTTTTACTATAGGAATGAATTTTAAAAGTAGTACAGTTTTCCACTGAAGGCAAAGAATCTCTGCCACATGTTTCATTACTTTTTTTCTCCCTTTCTTTTGCTACTATTTGAGGATTGATCCCAGGGATGTTCTACCACTGAGCTACAACCCCAGGGGTTTTTTTATTTTTTATTTTGAGACAGTTGTTGAGGATCTTGCTAAATTTCTGAGGGTGGCTTCAAATTTGCAATCCTCCTTCCTCAGCCTCCTTTGTTTCTGGGATTATAGGCTTGTACCACTACACCCAACTCATTTTTTCTTATCTCCTTCCAATTATTGTAACTAGCAACTGTCTTTTTTTTAATACTTTTTTTACTGTCAATGGACCTTTATTTTATTTTTTTTATATGCAGTGCTGAGAATCGAACCCAGTGCCTCATACATGCTAGGCAAGTGCTCTAACCCCAGCCCAAATAGCAATTATCTTTTATTTCTTAAAGTCACCTGGATTTTTCTATTCTACTCTTAATTTCTTTGTTACTAAAATCCCTCTTTTTCTGTTTCTTACATTTTTCTTTTCTTCTTTTTAGTCTGATATAATCCCTGCTTCTTTCCCTCTCTCTTCCTCCCTTCCATTGAAATTACCTTCTGCTCATACTTCATTATTTGAATACAAATTCATTAATGTTTCTCTTTTCCTTAAAACCTTTGCCTGTATGTATGGTACTTAGAATTGAACCAGGGGTACTCTACCAGTGAGCTATATCCCCAAACCTTTTTATTTTTTATTTTGAGACAGTGTCTTGCTAAGTTACTCAGGCTGGTCTTAAACTTGCAGTCCTCCTACCTTAGCCTCCCAAATTGCTGGGATTACCATTGTGTGCCACCATGCCTGGCTTAAAAACCTTTTAATAAGCTGAATAATATAATTTTCTATAAAATTTTATAATAAAAAATTAAAATAAGATAAAAATCACTACCTTAACTCCCAATTTAATTAACAAAGGCCTGTTATCAGTCTTACGTTCACTAGAATAACCAGTTTGTCCCAGTTTTTTTGAGACTTTCAGCAGTGACAGTTACACATCCTAAGAAATCCCTCAGTCCTAAATTGGGACAATTAGTTGCCTTTTGTCCCACCTACTCATATTGTATTTTTCTATCATGCCAGGCAATGTTCCATTTCCTACTTTCTCCTTTCGGTTTCTCTCTTTTGAACCTTTTTTGCCTTGTTTCTTTTATCTGGAACAATTTTTTTCCTGCTCTCCCTGACTACTTCCTACTCATCCTTCAAGATATATCTTAGATATCATTTCCCCAAGTCTAGGTTAGTTATGCTTCCAGAGCAGCAAGGTTTCTCATGTCGTAGAATAGATGATATTCCATTACAGTTTTTGGTCTACTTCTTTTTTTTTCTTGCCAAACTAAAAGGGCAGGGACTTTATTTGTGGCATTTTGTTTTGTTTGTTTTGTTTTTGTTTGAGTCACCATCCTTGAGTAGACTCTCAATAAATGTCTATTGCTGAATGACTGATTTTCTTTCTTTCTTTTTAATTTTTTTTTTTTTTTAGTTGTAGATAGACACAATACCTTTTTTTTTTTTTTAATGTGGTACTGAAGATTGAACCCAGTGCCTCATGTGTGCTAGGCAGGCACTCTAACACTGAGCTATAGCCCCAGCTTGGCTGATTTTATTTCTAAAGTCATCCTTTACTTATTGCCCACTAGACTGTTCAGTTTGAGTCTGCTTCAAATTCCCTTTCTTCTGAGAGTCTCCTGAGTAAATTAGCTGAAAGAAAGGGGCCTACCATTTTCTGAATGACTTTGAAGAAATGATAAACAATGACAGGTATATATTTTAAAACAAAAAGTGAATGTAATGATAATAAATTCCTGCGAATGTTCCTTACCCTCTGGATCTGTTGAAATGTTATTTTATATTCAAAGTTCCGGTTATTTTTTGTTTTAATCTCCCTCCTTCCTTTTAGTTATACATATCACGTTTTTGTTGAAAAAGAATCTCTTCTGTTTCCTTCCCTTCCTTCTCTTAGTCTTTCACTTCTTCATCCTGTGTAGATTACTTCATTCTATTAAAAAGAGCTTTAATCCACAGTGTAGTCCATTATTTATTATATTATTTAATATCTCTACTCCTCACATGTGACTACTTTCTCTGATGCCTTCTTACTAATCCCTTCATGTTCACTTTTACTTTTGGCTCCCATCTCTTCTCTACTTTTTAATATCTGCTGCCTTTCATTTGATCACACTGATTAACCTTCAGGTGTTTTTTAGAGCTGCTTAGGGTCTCACTCTTCTATTTAGTCTATCCATTACCCCATTCTTACTTTGCGTGTCTATTCATATTTCAGGTCTTAAAAGCCATTTTCCCGTCATCCTTCTGCCTGTGTGTTTGAACATAGGTTTTCCTTCATCTTCACATAATTTCACCCTTACAACTCAAATCTATATTCATAAAACATTTTTCTAAAAAAAAATACCATTTGTTTAGTGTTTGCTATGTACCAGGCACTGTGCTAGTCTCTTGGGGTTGGAGTGAAAGAAATAGTCATATGAAATTATAAAAAGTCATATGAGATATAAAAAGTCTGTTGAACCTATATAGGAAACCAGTTACTGCTGTCCAAGAAGATTAGGATTTTCATGAACACATTGCCCTCAAGTTTTTATGGTTCAATGGTTTTTGATTTATTGATAAGGATACTGAGCCCAGAGGACTTAAATTACTTTATAAAATTGTGTAGCTAGTTGGCATCACATCTACATTTCTTCATTTTCACTTACAGTGCCATCCCTTTCTTATTGGCCTGAGGAACTGCAATTGAGCTAGTCCCCCCCCCCCATGTAATGAAACATTTTCAAGACTGTACAGTAAAAAACAATTGGTTTGCTTGCTTTCTAGCTTCTCTGTGTGTGGTGTGTATCACATGATAAAACTTAAACCATTGAAAAGAAGTCATCCTTCACTGCAACCCTCTATCCTTCCCTGAAGGTCACTATTAACAATGTCTTATATATCATTCTATGTACTTTATACAAACACAAGCAACCACAGCATTTTTACTTTGCACACATGGCTTGATTTCATTTTTTTTCTCCTAGTTGCAGATTCCTTTTCCCAAGCACCAAAAAACAGGTAATTAGTGATATATATTTAATGTTTCAGGTGAAGAGACAAGGATTAAGAACGGGAATCTTGTTTTAGTGACCAACTCTTGTGGAAAAGTGGAATCATCTAGGAAAATTTCTGAACCTATAGAAGCTCTTTATGAAGACTCTGATTTGGGAAGGGAGCAGGCTAAGCCCAAGGAGAAGACTGACTATAAATGCTGAGAATGTAGGGAGGGAATTATCCAGCATTCAGACCTGATTGAACATGGACTTGTACCCATGGGAGAAAAGCTCAGTGAATCTGAAGGCTGTCAGAGTTCTACTCTTACTGGACATCAGAAAATTCTTTCTAGAGAGAAAGGTCATCAGTGCCATGAATGTGGGAAAGTCTTTCAGAGAAGCTCACATCTTGTCAGACATCAGAAAATCCATCTTGGTGAGAAGCCATATCAGTGCAAAGAGTGTGGAAAAGTCTTCAGCCAGAATGCAGGCCTTTTGGAACATCTCAGAATCCATACTGGGGAGAAACCTTATCTATGTATCCATTGTGGAAAGAACTTTAGGCGTAGCTCTCACCTTAATCGACACCAGAGAATTCATAGTCAGGAGGAACCTTGTGAATGCAAGGAGTGTGGAAAAACATTTAGTCAGGCCTTGCTCCTCACCCACCATCAGAGAATCCACAGTCATTCCAAAAGCCATCAGTGTAATGAGTGTGGGAAAACCTTCAGTTTGACCTCAGACCTTATTCGACATCATAGGATTCACACTGGAGAAAAACCTTTCAAGTGTAATGTATGCCAGAAAGCATTCCGACTTAACTCACACCTCAATCAGCACATAAGAATCCACAATGAAGAAAAGCCCTATGAGTGTAATGAATGTGGAGAAGCCTTCAGACAGAAGTCAGGTCTCTTTCAGCATCAGAGACATCACCACAAAGGCAAACTGGCTTGATGAGGTGTTCTCTTCCTGTAGAACATCAGAAAGTATACATTGAGAAGCAAACAGCACTTTAGGAAAAGTTATTCTGGCCAACATCAGAATTCTTAGGGATTGAGTTGGAAGCTGTTTGCCTCTATTCTCTGTCCTTTGCTTTCCTTGAAGTTAGTTTTGGAGCCAAATAATTTCACCCTCGACAGTATAGTGAGATCAGAGTTAAATAGCATTCTTTACTATAAGACTTCTCAGAATTTTTAATGTGTTAATGAATGATTATAGATCTCCAAGAAATAGCCTCATGACTAAGTGAGGTCTTTGAAATTATCAGCAAATATAATGTCCACTGATTCATTAGACTTGTGTCAGTCAGGGGCAGGTTGATATTTTTTGCAAATGATATAGCAACAGACTCCTATAAAACTCATGATGTTTGGAAGTATACCACTCTCAAAGTTGTCTTAAAGTATGGGTTAATAGTGAATACTTTTCCCTAACAGGCTCTACCCCTCCCTCCCACTAGCCTTACCTTTATCCCTCCAACTCTACCTCCCATGCACAGAGGAAGCATTTTGGAAAGCAAGGATGATCCTTTCCTGGTTAATAATAGAACTTGCCTTCAGAATTATGTCATTTCATTTTTACACTTTCCATCCCTACCCCAATATCATTAATTCAAGATATTAATCAAAGTTTTACAATCTGTGGAAGAGATATCACATTTTGAACTGTACTGAATTAATCCAAATAGCAACTGTCTTACTTGGTAACTCCAGTGCCAGTACAGTAACTACTGCATATATACTATTCAATAAATATCCACCAAAAGATATTGGACTTATTCCCTTTAATATTGATGATGCAGTTTTTAAATGTTGCTTGTTTTGGAATTCTTTGAAAAGTCAAATAATAAAATCATCTTGGAGAGAAGATTATGATCTTTATATCATGAATAATGAAGTTTCATGATAATGATAAAGAATCTTAAGCTTAGAGTAGTCCATTCCCAAGCATAATAATAGCATCACTAACTGGTCAGTAGTAGCTGCATAAGGTACTGCTCTTTGGAGAAGCTGTCTTAGTTCACCAGTGTGGGAAAATTAGTGAATCCTCACAATGCAATGTCCACTAATATATCCATTGTGGAAAGAACTTTAGGCTCAGCTCTTACCAGACAATTGTTAACACCAGACAATTCAGTCAAGAGGAACCTTGTGAGTGCAAAGAATATAAAAAAAACTTTAGTCGGGTCCTGCTGTTCACTCACTATCAGAGAAGCCAGTCACTAAAAGCCATCAGTGTAATTATGGTTAAATCTAGGTTCAGCTAGGCATGGTGGTGCACACCTGTAATCTCAGCCACTCAGTAGGCTGAGGCAGAAGAATTGCAAGTTCAAAGCCAGCCTCAGCAAAAGCAAGGCACTAAGCAATTCAGTGAGACCCTGTCTCTAAATAAAATACAAAATGGGACTGGGGATATGGCTCAATGGTCCAATGCCCCCGAGTTCAATCCCCAGTACCCCCCCCCAAAAAAAAAAACAACAACTAGGTTCAGCTACATAGCTTAAACACACACACACACACACAATACACACAAATAGTAGTCACAGTAGTGAGTTATTAAAAGTTTTTCTATTTAATAGAGAAGAGTCCAGTATTGAAAAAGTATTTCCACAGTATCACTAGGGTCCTAGATTTCTGCCTTTTGATTCTACCATCCTGGTCCATGTCATCAGTATTTAACGTCCTTGTTTCATCTCTCTGTGGTTGTTCAAGCTCTGGCCATCACATCTAAAATGTGGACAAAAGACAAAAAGAATAAAAAGAGGCTTCTGTCAATTTAGTCAGCTTCCTTTGAACAGTCATTCCCAAAATTGCTTAGCACATATGTCTTGATCAAAACTTTGAGGAAAGAAAGCAGAAAAGGGTATTTTATTCTTTTCTGCAGAGTGCTTACTGAATGTTAGGTTTCTTTCATTAAGAACAAAGGAATGAATGTCAGAATAGGCACTTAGCAGTCTTTGGGCCACTTCCTATTTCTTTCCATTCAATCTTACTGAGTGCAAGCTGACCAGAAGCAACAGTTAATACCATTTTCTGGAGTAAGACCAAATAGGGGAAGCAGCTGTAACTTTTTGGAACACAAAAATTTCATGAAAAGTCAGTTGTATTTCCCCCAACTACAATTTTTTCTTTGTGATGCTGGGGATTGAAGTCAGGGCCTCAGATACTAGGCAAGCCCTCTACATCCTAGTTCCCTAGCTACATCCTTAGTCCCCTCCCCCAATATTTTTAAATGCTATGCTGAGATCAGTAACTAAAAATTTAGCTCCCTGTTATAGTTTAAATCTATTTGATTCTGTTCAGTTAAAGAAGAAAAGTACATAGAGTATTATGAGAAAGCAACTAAGCCAAGCACAATGGCATACAACTGTAATCCCAGCAATTTGGGAGGCTGAGGCAGGAGGATGGCAAGTTCGAAGCCAGCCTCAGCAACTTAGGCCCTAACTTAGCAAGACTGTCTCAAAATAAAAAGCAGGGAATATAGCTCAGTGGTAAAGTATCCCTAGATTCAATCCCCAGTACCAATAAATAAATAAATAGATAAATAGATAGATAGATAAATAAATATTACTGGGAAGTTTTGACTTTTCTCAATCAGAGCTGTCCCCTGAAAGTCCCCCTCCTCCTTTTATTTTCCTGATTAAAGCTTTGTCTGTATATTTGTGCTTACTTTGACTAATATTCAGTTTTGGCCATCATCAAATCAAAAGTCCCCATCTCCAGTATCATTTCCACCTTTATAGTTTCACATAGGTTTATTTAGGAAAAAGCAGATACATATTCAAGGGAGAATTAATGACCTATGGATTAAGCAAGGAATACATATTCAAGGGAGAATGTGGGCCATATCAAGAGTGAGAGATGTGTTTTGGGGGTTCCAAGAGATGTTATTGGTATCCTAGGCCAAAGGGTAGGGGACCTGACTTCAAGGAGTCTCAACAATCCACAGGGTCTGACAAAAGTAAACATGGTTTTACCATATGATTGATTTAGGATAGGAGAAATAAAAAGTAGAAAGGAGACCTACAGGAAGGACAAGGAAATTAAATTTGACTTCAGAAGTTCTACACACTTTTCCAGGTCTGTCTCTTCCAGGTCTGTTACTCCCAAATTCCTGTAAATCTACCTCTGCACTGTTAATTAACACCCCAATAAATGGATTAAGCAAAGAAAGATATGATATCATGAGGATCCCAAAATTTGGGGAACTTTACAGTGCTATCTACTGATAAGATAATGAAGATCGTGTTAGTGAGGATCCTGAGATTGAGCAGATCACCAGAAACCATCTTGAGATTACTGGACTGATTCCTACATAGCTTTCTGAATAAGATAAGATAGATAGATAGTAAAACAAATAGACACTTAAGAAAATGCCCCCCAAAAGAGGCTTCTCCATGAAATTATCCTGTAGAAACATTCCAACCAACTGCTTTGTCCTGGGCTGAGGGTCGGGGGACAGACCTGAGTAAAAGCTACAGATTCAAGAGCTAACCAATCAGTATTTCAGGCTGAACCAATAGCCTTGGCACCTTTCCAATATCTGATTAGCTTGGATATTGATCACTGCTCCTACCCAGTAGCTATATAAACCCTTACAAATCAGTAAACTTAATTGGTAACCTGCTATCAGGTAGCTTCTTGCCCAGCAAGAGAGCTCTGCTTCCTTTGTTGTCACTTAAATAAATCATACTCCTTTTAGTCTCATCTTCCGTTTCTGACAATAATCCAGAAAGAAGTCACAGATGGCGGAGACTGCTGCAATACTGAAGCAGAAAAGGCTGAAAATTCAATTTAAAAAATTTTTAGTTGCATATACACATATGCTGAGGATCAAACCCAGTGTCTCACATGTGCTAGGCAAGCACTGTACCACTGAACTACAACCCCTGAAAATTCATTTCATTCCATACCCATGCCTTCCCAAGTTTCCTTTAAAAGAAGAGCTTGGAACCCCCAAAACATCTCTCACTCTTGATATGGCCCACATTCTCCCTTGAATATGTATTCCTTGCTTAATCTCATAGGTCACTAATTCTCCCTTGAATATGTAGCTGCTTCCATAAATAAACCTCTGTGCCTCTGACTAGCACATGCTGAAATTCTTTTTCATCATGTATTCCATGAACTCCACTGGTCCTAAGTCACTTCCCCCTTTTTCTCCCGGAACTCCTCAAACACTTCTTTAGATTTATCTCTTCTTCTGTGACATGATCACCCTCCTTGGTGACTCAAAGGCATTAAAAACTTGCGTCCACACAAAAACCTGCGCACAGAATTGCCAAAACTTAAAAGAAAGCAAGGTGGTTTTCAGTAGGTTAATGGGTAATTAAAGGGCCTGTTTTTAAGAGGTATTTTATGTTTTTACTATTGGATTAAACATCCTTTTACATGTTGGTTTGGTAATGGAGTCTCAGAGGCATGACCCTGAAGATCCAATAAATCAGATCTGGCAACTCACCTCAAAAACTAAAAAGGAAAGTTAATGATGAAAAGAGCTTTAATCAGTGTGGCTACATTGGAAAGATGAGGAGACCCATATACTTAGCCTTGTATTCAAAAGGCTGACAATGAATTTGAGGTTTTATAGAAAGGGAAATAAAGGCAAGAGTTAGGGGATTTGTATAGCTGGAGGCTTCTCACAGTTAACAAAGCAGAGTGTGTTAATCAGGTGTAATCAGTCTATCATCTCAGGATTGGTCAAGTTGGGCCTTGTCCCAGACAAGAAGTTGCTGTTGCATGTCTGGGAAGGTGACTTTGGCTCATCATATGATGTTTATAACATCAGACCTTGTTCCTAGGAAGCAAAGTAGATGAATGCAAAATGGAAGCAGAGATGCTTTTAACCATCTATTGGACATTTGCCAGCCAAAGTGAGGAGTCACTCACTGAGCTATATTCGTAGCCCTTTTTAATTTGCATTTTGAAACAGGGTCTCACAAGTTGCCCAAGCTGGCTTCAAACTTGTGCTCCTCCTTCTGCCTCAGCCTTCAAAACTTCTGTAAATACAGGGATGGACCACTGCACTCAGCAAGTCTCCTTTTACTCTTAATTCCCTTAAAAATTAGAAGAAAGCTAGGTGGCTTTTAGTAGGTTAATGGATAATTAAAGAGCCTGTTTTTAAAAGGTGTTTTATGTTTTTACTATTGGATTAAACATCCTTTTACATGTTGATTTGGTAATGGAGTCTCAGAGGCATGACCCTGAAGATCCAATAAATCTTGAGTTTTCAGTGTACACATAGCTCAGAAACATTGGGTTTGAACATCAGCACCACATAAGTAAATAAAATTAAATAAATAAAATAAAGGTATTGTGTCCATCTACAATTTAAAAAATATATTTTATAAAAAAGATTCTTTAAAAAATTAAATAGAGAACTATCAAAAAGTAAATATATATGCCCTTTGATCAGTTTCAATATGTAGTACCACCCAATAAATATGAGTATATATGAGAAAGTAAAGCTATTGAATGACATTCCTTACACCATTGCTTATAAAGAGAAAATTTAACCTACACAGACATCAATAGGGATAAGTTATGGTATACCCATACAACAGAATACCATTAGCTATAATAAGTAGATATGGAAAGATCCCCAAGCTATCAGCTGAAAAAGAAAAGGTACAAAATTACATTATGGTATCAAAAGTGTTCTAAAAGGTATGTGCACATTTATTCAGTAAACAAAATGTTCGTTGACTGCTACTATATGGTAAGTAGTGTCCTGGGATGATATGTCAAAATAAATAAATAAATAAAAATAGATACCATTAACCCTGAGTATTGAAACACTTCATTTTGTAGTCTTCATGAACTTGAGTTTTCAGTGTACACATTTAATCTGTATACTTAAAATTTTCTTAGTTTCTTCCATTTATCTAATTATAATTGTTTATTGATGAGCGTGGTGGTGCATATGTATAATTCCAGAGACTTTGGAGGCTATGGCAGGAGGAATCACAAATTTGAGACCAGTCTGGGAAATTTAGGGAGAACCAATAAATAAATAAATAGCTGTGGGAGACCAACCTTACACATGACTGAGTCATACTCCCTGGCTGGGTGCTAAGATGCTCAGTTGCAGAAATGTGGCAGAGCTTTCCCCACCCTTCTTGGGTCCAAGGACCAGTGTCTCCTGCATGGGTGTGTCTTGCTAAAGCCCCCTGGGTGAAACTATGCTCACCTGTTCCTTTGTAATATAACCCCTTGCCCTGTTTAGGATAGAATCTTCCATGGAAGTGCCTTGTGTGTGTCCCCTTCTCTTACTATGCCCTTGGGTGTGGCCTACCCAGGTGTCAATCAACCTGCTGACAGCCGGACATCCTGAAGATAAACTCAGCCCCCTGAAACTTGACCCCTTGCCTCATTTGAATAGCTTCTCCTCAATAAAAGGGGTCAGCCCATGCTCTCCAGCGCTCTCTCTTCCTGCAGACCCTTAAGGTCAGAGGAGCTGTCACAGCGACCCCAAAGAAAAAGATATTTGTGTCTCTTGTGTGGTTATTATTGTGCAGCCCAGTTAGCCCAGTTTAACTGGAGTGACCTCTGAGCCTTTTAGTCTGGCGAACAGAACCCGGCAAATAGCTACCGAGATAACTCAGTGGGTAGAGTGCCCCTGAGTTTAATCCCCAGTACTGGAGTGGGGAAAAAAGAAATATAAAAATTTATTGATCACCTCCTCCCCAGCCTGTGCCTGTGAGGAAGCCAAGGACAGATATGGCTTTGCCTTTACCATGCTGTTGGGGTTTTGTACTGGGGATTGAACAGAAGGAGGCTCTATGGCTGAAGAACATCCCCATTCTTTAAAAATTATTTTGGAACTTGAGACCCAATTGCTTCAATTAGTAGTTGGGATTTCAGGTGAGGGCTACCCCTTCCCTTTATTTGGGGGAGTTTGTGTTGCCTTCCCACACCCCCACCCCCGCCGCCGCCGCCGCCCCTTGGTACCTGGGATAGAATATAGGGGCTCTTTACCACTAGGTTACAACCCTAGTCCTTTTTGTCAATGGTCTCGAATTGCTGAAGCTGGCCTTGAAGTTGCGATCCTACAGTCTCAGCCTCCAGAGTCGCAGGGATTTCAGGCCTGTCCCACAGTGCCCCGCTACCGTTGGTTTTTAATTTAGAAGATTTGTGTAAATGTGGGGCACACTAGGGCCAATGGGAAGAGCCCCGAGCCTGGGATCGAAAAAAGAATCGACCTGTGTGCGGCAGCAATTGGAAGCCAGGCGTATCAGAGAGATGAGGCGAAGGCTCCTAGAGAGGCATGGAGCCCGACCGGAAGTCGCCGGAGGCCGCCCAAAGCGGCGAGAGGAAATAACCCCGGCTGGCTTCTCTGTCTGCAGGAAGTGTCTCAGCCTCCAGCACAGATAAAGGAAGGACCCCAGAGATTTGCCCGCCTAGCTTGACTCCCCGGCAGGGGCCTGGGAAGACCAACCAGCGCTTCCCTACCGTGGAGCCCCAGGCCTCCTTATTCCCGCTGGAGTTCTTCCTGAGGTTCGCCACGTCTTTGTTGTGCTCCTTACCTGAACTTTTAGTCTGTTAATCAGCAGACACTTATTGAGTGCCTGCTGTGTGCCAGGTACTGTGCTAGTTGCTGGCGTGTACTGTTAATAGACTAATTTTGGGTCCACCGGAGAGGTCTGGCTACTGGCATCAGGACATCCGCATACGTTCATCAAGAAGTCCACCAATATTTGTCAAATACCAGGTACTTACCGGGCACCTAGAGTTTATGCAAAGATAAACCCCTACCCGCAAGGTGCAAGATGGGGCGATCTCTAATACAAGTTGGAGAAAGAGGGTGGTGGGTTTAGTTTTCCATGGTTCCACCACCACCTGTGTGGCTTAGTGGACAAACAGTTTTCCCCTTTCTATGTGAGGTTTGAGGATGGTCACAGAAAATTTTATTCCTGTACATAAGAGATGGCATTTGCACGGGACCTTAGGAATTTACCTTAGAAGAATGATAGTACTTGCTATAAAATACAAAACAGGTGAAAAATTTTGGAGTAAATATCATTGCAGTGACATGAAGAATTTGGGAAGACCATAGTTTTCTTGAAGATAGGGATTGTCTTTTATTCCATTATAGCATTATGTCTGGGAAACAATGAGGTGCTCAGGAACTTGAGTGACAAGCAAATGAGTAAACCCTAATAAAGATCAGGTCCCTGGGAGTTCAAATTTAATTCTAGGAGGAGTATTTTAAACTTTTGGAAATGTATAAGGACAACAAACTTTTTTCTGCTCTCACACCCAATAATCAATACAAAAGACATATGTGAACTCAAAAGATGTTGGAATTTCTCCCTACCAGCAAGCAAGCAATTCTTGTGGTGTCCTATAATTTTGTATAGGACACCAATTAGGTCCCCTCTAGTTCAGTTCAATTCTGACACTGTTAGATCTCACCTGTTGAGAGCTCAGTCTCAATACTGCCTCCTACTTCCAATGTGAATGTGGTTCCCAGTTATTTTACCTGGACTTCTGACAAACTAGCTAGAAATCAGGATTCATACAGTCTCTACTCTTGAGTTCATAGAGCTCAGGAAAATACATGCTTACTGGTATATCATAAAGAATTTTACAAAGGATACAGATGAAGAGTTGCATGGGGGGAAGTGTGGGATAAGGAGCATTAAGCTTCCATACCCTTCAGAAACTTCCACAGGTCCAGTTATCTGGAAGCTCTAAGAACGCTGCTCTTTTGGAGTTTTATAGAGGCTTTATTGCATGGGCACAATTGATTAAATCATTATTCATTGGTTATCACCTTCGCTTTCAGCTCGTTTTCCCTCCCTTGAGGTTTGAAAAAGAACTGAAAGTCTCAACCTTTTTAATTCTGCCTTGGACTTTTGGGTGACCAACTTCCTTCTGAAGCCACCTAGGGGCTGCCAGCCTTCAGTCAGTCATTAATGTACAAAAAGAAACATTGCTTTGAAGATTCTAAGGATAATTAGAAGTTGTATGCCAGGAAACAGGAACAAATACCAAAGGAGGTGGGTTGAATGTTGTCAGAATTGTGTTTTAGGAAATATTAATCCAGAGATGGAGGTTTAGCAGGAATACCACACAGAAAATGACAGTAATAGTGATTGAAAATAATAATAAAATAATAAAGGACAGAGGCATTTTGTATAGAGGATTAACTGGAAGCCTGGGGCGCATGCCTGTAATCCTAGCACTCAGGAAGCTGAGGCAGGAGAACCACAAATTCAAAGCCAGCCTCAGCAAAAGCAAGGCACTAAGTAACTCAGTGAGACCCGTCTCTAAATAAAAATACAAAATAGGGCTGGGAATGTGGCTCAGTGGTTGAGTGCCCTCAATTCAACCCCCAGTACCTGATAACAAACAAACAAACAAAAAAAGCCCAAAGGATTAACTGGACTCAGAGGGATTATTTATAAGGTATTGTTTATTTGTACATGGAAGTTGGTGACACCAATAGAAAGGAGAAATACAGAGTGCAGCTTTGAAGGGCTCTCTGGTTTGGAGTATATTTAAATTATGGGGCAAGTGAATGAAGCCTATAGCTGGAGGTATCCAGCTGACATTTTAAGTGTGAATCTACAGTGTGAAAGGCATCTTGGAGCCAGACAAAGATTTGAGTGTTCTTGGAACAGAGATATACTGAAATCGAGATTGTAAATGGAGAAAGTGAGGAGACAAGAGAAAAGAACTTGATGCATGTCTACTATTTCAGTTATCTATTGTTGTATAAAAAATAAACTAAAATCCTAACCTTCATGGTTAAAAACAATTTCTCAGGATTCTGTTGGTTGACTGCCACTTCTGCTGGTTTCACTTGGAATTACTCATGTAGCTGCATTCATCTGGTGAACTATGTGGAAGTAGGCCTAACTGAGCTATTGGGGCTTTAGCTTTGGAGCCTTGGTTCTCATTTACCTTGACCTCTGCATGGTTAGCTTGCGCTTCCTATAGCATGGCAGTATCATGATAGCATGCCAAGAGCTATAAAGGCACTCTTTTACAGTGTCATATCTGCCATATTTCAGTAGTCAGAATAAGTCATAGATCAACAAACATTGAAGACAAGGAAAAAAAATCCACTTAATTATGAGAATAGTGGAAAAATCTTATTACAGAAGATATTTGGGAATAGGAAAGTTTGGAAACATTCTGTGACACCTACAAGGTAGCATACCCTTGTAATCCTAGCTGCCTCAGGAGGATCACAAGTTCAAGGTTAGCATTGGCAACTTAGACCTCATCTTATAATAAAAAAAATAATAGAGCTGGTGATGTAGCTCAGTATTTGAGGGCTCATAGGTTCAACCCCCAGTACCTCAAAAGGAAGAAAATAAGAGAAAAAAGTGGAGTTGTCAGTACATAGAGGAAAATGACCTTTGAGATTGCATTGTATGCCCACAAAGCTAGCCATCTTGGTCCTCCCTGGGCAAAATTATCCCTTTTCCCCAGTTGAAGTATAAGCTGTTCCAGCACTGATAACTGTTCTTCCTCATATTCTACATTCCTTACTTCTGGGCTGAACCCCTTTATGTTTGAACCCCTTTATGTTCAAGATATACTTTTTATTGATTTTACTTGTAATAGAGGCAAGCAGGCTCAGCTTTTGAGAATGACTTACAATGGGTACAAAGATTTAAGTACATTGTAATTCGTATGTTTCTGATCAATTCTTATATTTAGATGTACATTTGGGAAACAATATTTGAAACATAGTCCTCAGCCAAAAAGACCTTTCTCCAGCTACAAAGCTCAACATGTATGAAGCTTTACTGGGTTCTGCTCCTGAAAATGAAGACAGCCTTGTGAAGGTAAAAGTGGAAGATCCCACTTGGGAGCAGGTGTACAACACACAGGAGGGCAGCTCCCACACTCAGGAATTTTGCCGCCTGAGATTCCGGCAGTTCTGTTACCAGGAGGCTCCTGGGCCCCGGGAGGCTCTGACCCAACTTCGAGAACTTTGCCAACAGTGGTTGAGGCCAGAGATGCACACCAAAGAGCAAATACTGGAGTTGCTGGTGCTGGAGCAATTCTTAACCATCCTGCCCAAGGAGCTGCAGGCCTGGATGCAGACGTATTCTCTGCAGAGTGGGGAGGAGGCAGTGACAATGCTAGAGAATCTAACTTCTGGACATGGAGACACAGGACAGCAGGTGAGAAGATAATGTGTATGGTGGTGTGGGAAAAGAAATGATACATATGAATTTGTTAATTTTTAATTTTATTTTGAAATAATTTAAAACTTACAGAAAGATTGGGAGAATAGTATAGAGAACTCCTGTATGCTCCTCACCCACGTTCACCAGTTGTTAATACTTATTTCATGATGTACCCATCCCACTTCCCTACTTGTGCAAGCGAGCCCTCTTTGTATGAATATGCTCATTCAAACAAAGACACACATACACTTTTTTTTTCCTGAATCATTTGAGAATTAATTGCAGACATTATGCCCCTTAACCTCTAAACACATCAGTGTATATTTCATTCTCTTGTACAACCAGAATACAATACCAAGGTTAGGAAAATTACATAAAATTGTTATGGTACTATCATATAACACTAGTATTTCACATTTTGCCACAATATCCCCTCAGTGCGCTTTTTTAAAAAATATTTTTTATAGTAGGTGGACATAATACCTTTATTTTTTTTTTTATTTTTATGTGGTGCTAAGGATTGAACCCAGTACCTCACATATGCTAGACAAGCAGTCTACCAACTGAGCTACAACCCTATCCCCAATAGTGCTCTTTATGGCAAACTTCCCCTTGATCCAGGGCATAAGCTAGAAAGTGTCACATATTATATTTAGATGTTGTGTCTCTCTAGTCTCCATGAATCTGCTCAGTCTTTGTTTGTCATGACATCGATATTCTTGAAAAGTACAGGCAGTTTTTTTGGAGAATTTTCCTATTTCAGTTTGTCTTGCATTTTCTCCAGAAAACTTTGGCTAGAGTATCTACCCTAGGGGTAATACTTTGTTCTCAGTCTGCCATTTCAGAAGGCTTTGATGGTTTATCTCAATACTGATGAGATTATGGTGGAGCCTAACAAGTTTCTTCAGTACAAAGTTACTATCTTCCCCTTCATAATTACT